TCAATGATGCAAAAATGGAGATATTTCAATGTGTGCATTCATCTTCTGTTCTTGATTCTGAGATTAATCGTTCTTCTTATTGGAAAAGTAAAACATTTACCACTTTCATTTTTATTTCGTTTATTTTATGATTCTTTTACATCGAAATAACAATCATATAAAGTTCTCTATTGGTTTAGAGATAGAAATCATAAAATTATATGACTAACTGTCCATGTTTGATCTACTCTCGAACATGTTATGATCATAAGACTGACAAAAGTATGAAATAAAATAATCGAAATCCTGATTTAAAAGTAGCGTCTATTGAGATAGGAGACAATCACTCGTGTGTAAAACTACACTGACTATTTCATAATGAGTTCCATAAGAAAATAGACACAAAAATAAACTATGACGTTAACTTAAGTATTACTATATGAGATTCACTTATAGGTTACTGCCATAAGAGGATTCGATTTTGACACGAAGTTCACTCAAAAATAAATAATTCATATGATCAAGTGAGCGAGACACGAGAATTGGTAGTATTCACTTCAACTATTGTTTTATGAATAAATATAATTACAGCATCAAAAGTCCGAACAATATGCTTTCAAATTCAAGATATGTCTGATTTTCTAGCGATGTAACCTTTATCATAGTTTTTATGCTATATCATTAGATACAATTAAGATACAATTGGATGAAAACCGTTTTTTTCTTGAATATTCGATCGCTTTTCCTAAGAATCATCGTCATTAGACGCGAACAATTAAATTTTGTGTGTTAAGATGATCTTTATACCGTTTCAATATATGCATTACTTGAGTTGAATTACAACGTTGGAGGCGAGTTTCATCTTCTTGGTGTATTTCGTTTATATGAGCAATGAGTCGAAGCGGTTTGGACTTGAATTTACAATAATATGTAAACAATGAACATGAATCTGTTTTACCACTTCTGACAACGATCGATGTCATATGAGGAAATAAGAATCAGTCATATCGTTGTACCATCCACTTTTAAACATGAAACAAGACAGTTTTTGTCCCATACACACCTGTAGATCGTTTTTGTGGTCGATGTTGATTAAACTGTTGTACAGGCATATCTTCCGTTGAACATTTACATGTGACACGAGCACTATTCCCATGTTTGACAATCATATGTTGGTAGAGGTCTTCGATTCATTTCTATATTTTTGAACATCATGAACACATCTTCTTTGCAACAATTGTCGATTGTGTTGATGCGATCGTTTTACTCAGTTCAAGTGTGAAATGTTTGCTAGCAATATGCTGTTCAACGCTTTTATCGCTCGCAAACGTCTTTACACCGTATGGACATTGTTTTTTTGTTTTGGGAATGTTCATCTCCAAATTAAACGTGGTCGAAGACTCTGGATATTTGTCACCTCTTACACTAATCGTTGTTTTTCCTATTGCGGATGGTTGACATGCATTTTGTGCTTGTAAATTGGATTGTATTTTCGTTTCAATTTTTTTTGAAGCTGAGGGTGTGGGTATGGGTGTGTGGGTGTGTGGGTGTGTGGGTGTGGGTGGGCTTTGGGTATGAGTGCGGATGTGGGGTGTGGATGAAGAATATTACTCATACCCACACCCACACTTTTAAGGTAGGAGAAAAAAACTGAATGCTAAGCATATGTTTTGCTTCTAAAAGTTCACAAGTAAAATGTTTAGCGTCTGATTCCAATTAAAACTTCAATTCTACAGAATTTGACCTGAAAATAGCTGAGAACTAGAGGTGTAATGACAAAAGGAATCCTATCTAGGAATTCATTAGTTATTGATATAGACGAATTGTACAAGTACAATTGTAATTTCGTTGAGTAAATGATAACTGATATAACTTTTGAATGAAGAAACAACATCACAAAGTTTCCTATAAATTTTTGTCAAACAGATGTAATTAAAATTTTCGTACATGATCAATATGAACAACCCAGGTCCACCAATCCAACAATCGAATCCAATCGGATTTCTATCAAACTCTATAAGATCGACATCGGAATTTCTAAGATCCGATCTGATCGTGTGGGAATCAGATCGGAAACTGTGTCGTGAAACACATTGAAATCCTGTCGGATCCTAATTATGGATGCCGATCATAGTCTACTGACACATACCAATGGGATCCCACTATCGGCAACCGACAACATCCGATTGAACCACACCGATCGACTCTGCCTGTAGGAAATCATTAAGAACCTCCAGTTTCCATGAAATCCGACGGAAGCAGAACTTTGTCTCGGAGCATTTAGATTTCAAACCAAATAAAATTCCCTTGACCTTAGTCAAAGTCTTAATCCCGACACTCACTGTGCTTATGTGTGCTCGCAGAGTAGCAGTTCCAATACATGTCAGAGCAATAAAAATCCATCAGTGGTATACTTAGATTACCAAATCCCATATTGTGAAGGTACCCTTAGATCCATCAGTGCTATATTATAGACGTATTCTAAGGTCCTCAAGTGCTACGTTATAGAGCTATCCTTAGGTGCAGAAGTCCCATGTTATGTGAGTATCCTTAGGTTCTCAAGTCCTATATTATGGAAATCCCCTTAAGTCCTCAAGCCATATATTATAGAGGTATCTTTAAGTTCTCAAGTCCCATATTATGGGACAGCCTTAGGCCCTCAAGTGCTATATTAAGAGGACACCCTTAGGTCCTCAAATTCTATATTATAGAGGTATCCTCAGGTCCTCAAGTGCTATGTTATTATATTGCTTTTAGGTCCTTTAGCTCTATTTTACGGGGTGTGGGTGTGAGTGTGAGTGTGAGTGTGAGTATTCGTTTCACCCACACCCACACCCACACCCACACCCTACACCCTCTCTAGAGAAAACTTCCAGCATAAGCAAACATTTGATAAAGAAACTTCCAACATGTTTTTTGAACAAAGAAGTAAATAATTATTCGGAATTGAAGAAAAACATGGAATATTTCATAAGAAAATAATACAGTCTAAGGTCAAAATTTTTTTATAGATGATTAATAATGTAAACATGCCAAATGGCAACTTGCTTATGAAAAAACCACATATGACGAAGGTGGTGAAAGAAAATTTTCAAGTACACTCGAAGCGTCTTTTTGTTTATATATTATGTCAACATTGAGGTAAAATACAACAAAATGATTCTAAAAGTCTCAAAGAAAATATCAAATATTTTTTTTATCCATCATTTGGTTTCTACCAACATCTTCTCTCAATGTATTATGAAGAGAAAAAATGGTAAACCATTTTTGCATATAAAGAGAGGATCAGAGTAACTCACAAAAGACACAATTTTAATGGCTTCAGTTGTTTCATCTATTTCTATCGCGCTCTGCATAATTTTTTTGGCATGGACTGTCATCATTGCTGCTCCTGTTGATATTAACTCCAGTGGTAATAGTTCAAATGTGACAGGAACAACTCGCTGCATTGCCTTTTGCGGTACGAGATATTAAACGATATATTAGAAAGTGAAATACTCTAATTTGTGTTTTTAGGTGAAGTAACCCTTGTTAAAACTCCTATATGTTTTTCTGGTGACAGTTGGCTGCAATTGAGTGATGGACGACGACAAAATATTGAACAGTTACAAAGTGGAGAGAATCTATTAGCATTTGATGGATCTAATGTAGTAGCCAGTGAAATGATGTTTATTTTAGACAAAAATGCATATGCTCAAGGTATATATATTAATATTTGGTAAATAGATAGTTGATCTATTGATTGATTTGTAACTCTTTATTTAGCTCACTTCTATACGCTTGAAACAGCATCCAATCATACAATTAGTTTGAGTGCGGAACATTTGCTTCCGGTTGTTTCAGAAAAAGGTATATCCATATATATACCAGTTGAGCGAATAAAAGCTGGTCACCATTCTCTATATGTTTTATCTGACGATGGAATTCTATCTCAATCATTAGTCATTCGCGTTTCAATACAAATGAAAATCGGGTATTTTGCACCTCTAACAACATCTGGTAAGATCTCTATAAAAATCTCACAATCTTATATATTGCATTTCCTTTATATATATATAGAAACAGTGCTAGTAAATAACGTTGTAGCTAGTTGTTTTAGTCATGTACACAATATTGCTATGGCACAACTCAGTATGACACCAGTGAGATGGTATTATAAAGTAGCACGTTACTTTGGGTTCATGAAACATTTCGATAGTAGAAATGATATTCTAAGTCAAAATGGCTTACATTGGATACCTCAAATCATGTTTAACTTAGTTCAACGTTTCTATCCATCAGTGTTATATTTTTCTTCTGAAAACTTTCACTACTCATGTATCAAACATAGCTGAATGACAATACTATACATTTAGGTAGCGATCTGTACTGTCTTTCTTTTCAGTTTGTATTCTGTACTCTCTGCGCCATGTCATATTCTCGCTTTTTTTTAATGCCTTATATCCCCTTCTATATTTTTTTTCTTTCATTACCTTCCTTTTCCTCCTTATTTGGTGATATTGGTTCATGTAGTACTACCTATTGTAGGATGTATTAATAGGCCGTGAGGCATTAATTTCTCACTAGCTCAAATAAAAAAAAACTACCATACATTTATATTATATTTCATGTATCTTAAATAATCAATTATAAACTAGATGTTATGTGTTAACATTTTCTATGAATAATTTTTTTTAATATTCATACTAAATATGAAGTGATCAAAGAAATATTTTTGTCTAACACATAAATATAATTCTTTGATACCATATGGATTAGAGTAGAAAGCACTGTTGGAGTTGAAACTGTTTTTTGAAAAGTCAAAAGTTGAGAAAAAGGACAAAAAGTTAAAATGGCTATAACTTTGGCTATAACTATTAACCATAGTTATAACTTTCAACCCAAGTGTAGGGTGTGAGTGTGCATATTATCTTCATCCAGACTCACATCCCACCCACACCCACACCCACCCTTACTAGTAATAAGTAATAACAATTATTACTTTTAGTACTTATTAATATATTACTAAATTATTTTATTACTTTTCAAAGTTATTACTTATTACCACGTATAAGTAATAAGGTCGTTAGTTATTACTTAGTACCGGTAATAGTAATGTGCTACCCCCAGTAAAAATACGTTAAATACCTTGAACGAAGATAAAATCATAAAAATGTGCACTTTTTACGATTTTATTTTTGTTAAACTTTTAACGGGTTTTCTTGTCTGACTTGATAATTGATCAATGAACAGTCATTTACGATCATGGATGATTGACCTGTGAATAAGGACATTGGACGCGAAAACACTTAGAAGTGATGTGTTGTTCTATAATATCATACTCACATATAAAATTTGTTCTATCTTGAGATAAGAATATAACATTACCTGTGGTGTTCAAGATAATAGCATTTATCTCTTCTCACTCACCTGATAGTGACAGACAAATATAAAGTAGTTTCGAGTGAAAGCTCGTTCTGTTTTGAATTTAACTTTCTTGTAAATCATAATATGCATCACAACCAAGCTTACAGTAAGTATGTCAATGAGAAGAATGAACCACACAAATGGTGGCATCATCGATGGGCTAAGATCATCGGCATATCTTTTATCATTTTAATAATATTCGCAATTACTCTTTCCCTGGTGTTAAAATTCGCCGTTCTTATACCGAAAAAGCCAGCAACCACCACTGCAACAACATCATCAGCAATGACAACAGCATCATTAACAACATCAACATCAACACTGCCGCAAACAACAACAACAACAACAATATCGACATTATCATCAACGTCAACAACAACTACGACCACAACTCAGCAGTCAGGTAAGCTTCAGAATGACTTCCTTAATCATTCTAAATCAATGTTTATCATAAGAACAAAAAAATTAAGAGATGCCTACCTCTGTATTGTCTATTGTTTGTTACTATTGAAGTTTACATCGTTTTGATAATATCTCTAGAAGACAATTCATTCGTTCTTTTCGTTTTGATACCAGTAGATGCCAGATCTGAAAATCTGATCACTTTCTGATAAGATTATAAGTATATTTACTTTACAAAAACGAATTCCATACTATGGAGCTCTACAGTCATTTTAGTAATTTATTATAACGTGAACCGAAAAAGCAGAATGAATTTACCAAAATTTTAACTTCATGAAGACCACTCTATCATTCATTGGCAAGTATCTCTCAAGAATAAATTATTCAGTAGACACTTTGAACGAGTCAGATAAATTACTATTTTGTAGCTTACACTGTTAATTTTATTTTACTATTAACACTATTTTTCTTTAATAATACTCATACCGCGAAGTCCAACTAACATTTCACTAGGCCTTGGGTATACAAGAGAAATATTATTGAACTGAAGAATTGATTTGTTTTTATTTATTATCTAAATGAAACTTACAAAACGTTTCCATTGTAGAGTTTTCTGACTGTTATCGATTACAAAGTGCACAAATTTTCGCTGAGGAAAGGAGTACGATTTAAGTCAAGCCACTCGACAAAAACGTAATCCCGCTTGCGCAATCAAACATGAAATCTTAAGAAATATGTTTTTTTCGAGAATTTTTCAAAAAAATCACATATACTTACAAAATATTTTTCAAGTGGCCATGTCTCATATACAAACATGCAAGCTATTTTAAATATTTGCAAGTGTTAAGCATAAATACAAGATAATAGCACATGTATGTCGCAGATAGATGACTTGCATGTAAATGTCAAAGTATCATTTGTGTGTACCTTCAAGTTGCCTGCAATCTTAGTAAATTCTGCATGTCAATGCAAACTACTATTTTGTTGTATTCATGCTACTTCGTGCGAGAGTTTTAGTATTTTCTTCAACATGTATTCATTTACGTTTTGTTGAAATGCAATCGCTCTTCTATGATTATATCACATTGGCTCAAAAAACTTGTTTACTTTTTCAAAGTCTTCGTAGTTATTAGTATTCATGTATACTTGTGCCTGTCGATCATTACATCTTCATCAAAAAACAAAAGATTTGTTTCATCTAACTAGCTTCGGAGATAAGCGAGGACAATGTTCTTTTTTCTTACTTATCAATCATAGATAAATTAACCACATGGCATAATATTACAGTTGATTAGATTTGTTAAGATAATCACCGTAGATCTGAATTATTGCAAATGAGAAGTCGGAGTTTAGTTTAAATAATTACATGATCAACGATGAATGTTTAGTCGTACAAGGACTGAAGGATTTCCATTAAAAGAAGACAGAAGATTGTAGGTAGAATTACGTAAATTCATTATCACTAGTAAGACAGAATTGTGTACAAGTCAAACATAGATATTCGTCGACGTATATATACATATCTTCCATACATAAAATATATCTTTATAAAAACGAAAACCTCGTCATGAAAGGTGTCCTTTCGAATTGAGCAAGTGACAATTATAATAATACAGAACGCATAAATAAAAAAGTCGAAGTCAAATAAAACAACTCATATTCTTCGTACTATCGATCCATCTCTGAAGATTGTACCAATAGAGGAATCAAAAGTATTAGTATATATGGATTGATCATTATCAGTGATAAACAACATAAATGAACGTGTGCGAGGTGAAAAACTAGCACGAGAACAATCTTCACAGTACTTCGCCAACGAGTTTGAGGAATTGTAGGTAGTATGTCGAACAGCAGCTGAAAAGAAACTCTAACTTTCTTTGAAAGAGAGTCAAAAAGTAACAGGTAGGATGACTAAATAGGAAAGTTTACCGAGAACAAAAATGTGAAATTCATTAACTAAATAAACCAAATAATTCTCTACTAGGTGGAGTCCGAACAGTTGTAGCTATCTTTTTTGATAAAATATCAATTGACATTTTATGATACAATGTAGAGAGAAAAGTTAACTTCAAATTTGAAGTTTATTTCTAGAATTCACTTTTTTCGATTGATTAGTTATCGATGCAAGGAAGAGAAAAAGTCATTAATGAGCAGACGATCGAGATTTCTCTTCATTGTCAAAGGATGAATTACTAGTTAATAGATTGATCAATCTTCCTTATGAACAAAAATAATGGCAAAACTTACCTCTAATCTTATTATAATTGTTTAGGACTTGATCAAAACTCGATTTGACCAGAAAAGGGAAAAATCAAAAAATTTAGTCAAAATTATTACAGATTTTTTTTTATAGATCTTCCGAGAATGTTGGTTGGTTTTTAATGATTTTCATGATTTATATGATTAGATTAGTTTGACATTATTTAAATTATCTTTCTTTCTTCTACAATTATAGTTATATCTAATTGAAATAATTGTTTAAATAATGAAAATTTTGATTGTTTTTATTACAGTTGATTTATAATCAATTAATATTGTATGATTTTAATCCATTACGAAACTATGTGCATT